CATTCTCTGCACATACACTGTGGCAGCCAAACTGACCTATTCGCTGTGTCTCACACATAACATTTCATCTTAGGTTTCTGTGATTTTGCTCAGGTTTTCCCTCATATCAGAAATGCTCTTTCACCTCACCTTCACCTTCACCTTCACCTTCACCTTTGGAATCAATGGTTTCCTTCAAGAAATTCAAGTCCCACCTCCTTTAAGAGGCTTTTCCTGATCCCCTCGATAGGTAGGGTCCACTATGGCTTTATTTTTATTTTGTGTATAGATTCTGTATTTTTTTCTCTATGAGCATATTTGTATCCCACCAGAATGTAAGCTGCATTTTTCTATTTGTATCCCCAGTGCCTAGTATAGTGGTTGGCACATAGATTATTGAATGGCTGATTTACTGAACTGATTGTATGTGCATGAACTTCTGATGTTTTCAATACCAGCTAAGGAGATAGCTAGGTCGCTCAGTGGCTAGAGTGCTGGACCTGCAGTCTGGAATTAAATTTGAGTTTAAATCTACCCTCAGATGCTTACTAGCTGTGGGACCCCAGACCGCTGTCTGCCTCAGTTTCCCCATCTTTAAAATGGGGATAATCATATTACCTACCCCTCACCCCCAAGGTTGTTGTGAGGATAAAATGAGATAATATTTGCAAAGTACCTTACAAACTTTAAAGCACTATATAAATGCTACTTGTTATTATTGTAGTTATTATTAATATTGTTATCATTACGAGCTAGCATAAGCAACCCTTTTCTTTTTCATTTTCTACCTGCTTGAGTCACAGCCAATTTGACAGCAGAGTTTAGGCATCATCTCAGATGACTGTCTTAATTCCCTACAGAACAGTAATGCCTTTACTCTTGCTGATCAACAGTTCATTTGTGAGAGATGACTAAAGTTAGGTTCCACTTTGTGTCCATGAGACAGGGTAAACCAATGGGTCCTTGAAACCATGACTTGACTTCAGTAGTACTAGTCCCTAATCCTATGATTCCAAATCCTAAAATAAAGGAAGTGTGCTTTAGTGAAAGAGCATTAGATTACACATCAGAAGGCAAAACTGATTAGAACTGAGACCACACCACTTACTACTTGGGAAGCCTTGTACAAATCATTTAATCTCTCTGTGCTCCTAATCTGTAAAAGAGAGCTAGACTCCATTATGTCTAAGGAACTTTTTGGTTTTAAATCTATTTCTTTTCCAACTCTAAATGTGTTATCTTATTATCCTAATTGACTCATTCTCTCCCCAATGAATTGACAAGTTCTTTGACTGATTTAGCTGCTAGCTGCTTTGGAAACCATGTGGTTATAACCTAACATTCATGAATCAGACTATTTGAAGAAGTATAAGTTTGCTTGGTGGTATCATTTATAAAACACAGACACATCTATAAACCTTAGGATAAAGATGGTTTAAGATATGGTATTTACTTTGCTGATCCTAAGACAAAGTGTTATAATGTATTCTACAGATGTGGCAACCCATTTTATTGATATTAATAATATTTATTTTGCATCAAATATATTGATGAAATTACATACTTAAATATCTCTGAATAAAGCTACCACAATAACTGCAGTTACATCTTTATCTAAATATTAAATATCACATGGGTGTATGTATTGGAATATAAAATATATGCTAGTTTGTAGACTATATACTACATAGTTACATGGTTTCTACTAAGAGAAAAATAAGAAAACATTCATGATTAAGCATAGGATCCGAAGATGAATCAGGAAACAGTAAGTAAGCACCAGGCTCTTCTTAGCAAGATCAAATAACCAGTCTTGAATTATATCCTTAGGGAAATGTAAGAACTAGTGGATATGACTGCTGAGCCCCTATTAGTGATCTCTAAAAGGAGGCATAGAACTGGTAAAGAGATATCAGACTGGCAAAAGAAAAATATTGCACAGTGGATGAACTTTAACAGCAAAAAGTGTTAAGTTCTACACATGAATTCGAGAAATCAGCTCAAAAGCATAAGGCAGGGGGTGACATGGCTATTTAGCAGATTGTCTGAAAAAAGATATAGGGGTTTTAGTGGTCACAGAGCTCAACGTGAATCAAGAGAGTTATACAGCAGCCAAAAAATAATGCAATCTTAGGATGAATTAAGATAGGCATAATGTCCAGAATCAGAGAGGTGACAATCTCACTGTGCTCTATCCCAGTAATACAAGATCAAGAGTACTGTATTTGATTCTAGGGAACCAAATTTTCAGAAGGATTCTGAAAAACTTGAGATTGTGCCATCTAAGGATTATTGAGGTACTAGATATGTTTAGTCTGGAGAAGAGAAGACGTAAGGTTACATGATTATGTACCCAAATATTTGAAGGGCTGTCATTTGGAAAAGAAATTGGAATTGTTCTTTCCATCCAAGAGGGTGGACCTAGACAAGGAAGTTGCTGAGAGGCAGACTGAGGCTTGGTAAAAAGGAAAACTTTCTTTCAAGAGTTGTCCAAAAATAGAGTGGATTTCCTCAGAAGACAGTGGGTTTCCTGCTCACTAGAGATATTCAAGAAAAGGCTGGATTACCACTTAATGACTGTGTTGTAAAGGAAATTCTTGCTCAGGTAGGAGTTGGACTAGACAATTTCCATGATTTTTTATATCTTTTAGATTATGTGATTCAATGATTCATCAGGGGTGTATCTTTGTTACACTAAAATAATAATATAATAGATAGTTCACGTTTATATAGTGCTTACTATGTGCAAGGTACCATACCAATGGCTTTACAATCATTATAACATTTGATCTTTGCAGCAACCCTGGGAGGCAAGTGTTATTATGGTTCTAATTTTACAGATGAGGAAACGGAGGCAGACAACAGTTAAATAACTTGCCCAGGGTCATACAGCTAGTAAGTGTCTGAGGCTGGATTTGAACTTAGGTTTTTCTGACTCCAGGCTCCACCTACCTACACCTACAACATTTCGGTAATACCATATTTTCACTGTTTTATATCCTTTAATTGCTTTAATCTGATGAATTTTAAATATGGTAAACATGTATACTAAATATAATTTAACAAACTATGCAGCTATCCTGAGCAAGACCAGAGCAAGACTCGCCTGAGAGTCAACAAAATTCCATTTTCTCCCACCAAAGAAACCCCTAAAACCTTTCATTTTTAGTAAGACAAAAATGCAAATTATTGAAAGTTATTACACATACAAAAAGTTTTGTAGACCATAGAGTGCTATATAAATAAAAATAAATAAATTAAATTATTCATGACCACCACCATCACAACAGTAACAATAACAACCCATACATTATTCTTCATTAAAAAAATTAAAAGGAATTTACATAATCCTGGTATATTATGCCAGGATTAGCTGAAAGGGTAGGTAACCTATTATTTGGCCAGATGACTATTGATTGTAGTAGTCCATGATACTTGTCTTTCTTTCTTTTTCTTTTCTTTCACTCATTCCATTTCCTCCTATGTATAATCTACTTGTTAAAATTTTACCTGTGCTTCCATGCTCAACTTAAAAGCTATTTCCTCCATGAAGCCTCTTTGATCACTACAGCCAGCCATTCTCCCTCCCCTCTTTGACTTCTATCAATTTGTTTGTACCCTTCTCTCACAGAACTTATAACACTATTCTTCATTATAGTTATTTGCCTGTATCATCATCTTCTCTATGAAATCATACACTTCTTGAGAGCATAGGTCATAACTTATTCTTCTTTACTAAATGGACACAGAGCACCTAGCTCAGTGGCTTGTAAATAGTAAATTTCAATAAATATTTGTTGAAGAGATGAATGAATGAATCCAAATTTACCTGCATCGATATGTCCAGGAATAGCTCCTACATGAATTCTTCTCCAACTACTCCAATCCATACTTTCTTTGAACTTTTATTGCACTTACAGTCAAGTATCTGTCTTTTCAAGTAAGTTAGTTTTACCTTCACAGCTAGTACCATAAGCAAGGATAAATGTACAATGCCCTTTCCTTCTAAATAAAACGTGTTATTAGAATGATTTATTGATTCCATTGGCTTTAAACTTGAATACTGTTGGATTTGCATGTGCTAGAAAAAAGTAAGACAAAACTGGAATTTATCTGTATGATTTTCATTGAAGTACTTTAAGGACATGAGCATAAAACACATTTTTTTTTAATCACTAAGCTTTAGCCTAGAAATACAAATTTTCTAACTGGTTAGAAAAAAAGATTTAGTAATGTGTAAAGAAAGAAAATGATTATTTCAGAGACTAGGAATTTGATTTATGTTGTGGTGAAATTTTGTGACTTAGGTTTATATAACTTGCTTTTAATTTATTTTCCAATGTATGTTCATGCCTAGTTGTCAAGTTTAGAGTGATATGAAGATTTCATGAGCCCATTATATAGGTAACCACATTTTTTTGTTGGCATATGTTTATTCTACCAGTAAATAACAAATACTTGAGTTCAGAGACCATATCCCCACCATGACTAGCATAATATTATATATATTCGATATTTTTAAAAATAATAATAACAATGAATGAAACATACATTCTTAGAATGATGAATGGAAATAAGAATCCATGTAATAGAATTCCTTATCCCCCACCTACTCCTTCAGAACCTTACAAATGACTTTTTGAAATTTACTTAAACGAATAAGATATAGGTAGCTTCTACTTTGTAAACAAGGGTAGATACACCCTAATGAAAATATTTTAAGGTTTTTTTTCAAAATCTTTGGTATCATAACTATTTCCTCCGAAATCACCTATATAATTACGAGGTAATTTGCTTTCATTTCTAATCAAGGAGTGTGTTATTTAAAAATTTTTAACTGGCTTCACAAATATATTTTAGTTAAACTTAATTTTAAACATTTTTGCTGTCATGGGTATAATTGATCAACTATGACAGCAATTTCAAATTTAATTTGAGCCTGAAGAATAAACAGTAGAATCCAGTAGGATATTAGTGTTTTCTTTCAAAGAGAAAAGGTACACTCAAGTAGTCAGTCTTACCAGGTTTCCTACATAAAGCACCCCACTAAACTGTTCAGTCATAGGATAATGTTCCATGGCCATGAACAGAGTATTCAGGACAATGCAGATGGTAATAGCCAGGTCAACAAATGGGTCCATCACAATGAGACTGACGATGTGCTTCACTTTTAGCCATGGTTCACAGCAATCCCAGATCAAACATGTGTTAGCAAATTTATACCAGCATGGTGGGCATTTCTGTCTGGATTCTTCAAGTTCTGGAAGAAAAAGGGATGAATATCCATGAGTATAGTACTCAATGTTTCACGTTAAACAGCCTCTGGCTTAAAACTTAGGGAAAAAATGCTAAAATATTATGGGCTAATAATGACATTTTCCCTAAGACTTCAGCCAATGAGATTAAAGCAGGTTGTTATTTCAGACAGATATTGTGGCAATCTCATATTAGTTTATAGTGTGGATGGGTCAGTAATGTCTGATATATTTTGCAAATTCCAAAGTAGAGAAATTATAATTTCCTATCTGAATTCCATCTGTGTCCTTCAACTAGCAGGCAATAATCTTCAATTTTTGTAACAAAAATAAACAATAAAAACTGATTAGTGTTTATGTTGAGGGTAAGTACAAGATCTTATGATTTTTAGATTATTACTCATCAGGGATATTTACTCACAAAAGTTATACAGAAACTTAACCAGTGACCCTAAACTTCTGATTCTTAGATGAAATGTGCTTATTGGTTCTTCAAAATGAGACAGCATATCTGCCACGACACACTAAAGTTAGAAACCCACAAATCAGGCCCACAAGATGGAATTGCACATTAAGTCTTCTAAGCCTCTCCCTCCCCCACCACACACATACCTTTCACATTTCATTGCTAACTAAAGACCACAAGAAATGATGGAAATACCAAGCACTTAGAAGTCTATGTGCTTCCGTTATTAATAAAAATTGTTGGGGAATTAGTTGTCATTAATCAGCTCTTAAATTATATGATATGATCTTCACCTCTGCCTTACAGAATTTTTTCTTTTAAGATGTCTGTTCAAGTGCCACCTTCTCCATGAGGCCTTTCCTTATCCCCTGAGCTGTTAGCTGGTAACTACTTACTATATGCCTATGTAAAACTCATTTGAAAAACCTGTCCCATCGAGAAGTCAAGAAAGTAGGAATTATATTTTTAACTGTCATTAGATGAGGTGTTTCTTCCTACAAACTCAGGGGAAATGTGGGATTATCTTTGATTCATGAGGATGATGAGTATTTTGTAGAGAAGGCATGGAGAAAGAAGATGAGAGGAAACATCTTTCTTAGAAATTTCAACTTATTTTATAAAGAAACATTGTAAGGAAAATTTTATGAAGAATGAGTCTGGAGAGAGACTATTAAGAATGAGGATTTGAGAGAAAAGCAAGATAAAATTTTCCTGTCACATCAGTTGAGATACAGAGAGAACAAAGAGGAGGAAGATATATCTTTCTTTATGAAACTACTGTAACCATTATCTTGTGAAGAAAAACTTTATTTGTTATCTTGAGAGTACTAAATGGTATGGGGCTTTTTTCTCAGAAGTGAAAAGGCTTAAGGTGACTGAAAATTCTTGCAGTTAAAATACTGTAAAAATATCTATGTCTATTTTATTATTATTAACTTGTGTTAATAAATTACATGTTCAATAACTTTAATATTTACTTAATCTTGGGAGATTGTGAGAAACTTGAGAAACTACAATTTGGAAAAGAAGTTTCTCTAGTTTATTGAATAAATACTATTTAATGAACTGTCAGGGGTTCTGAGCTTGATTGAGACATATATCGAAATTTTAACAATTTATGAGGAAACACTCTTGGATTGCTTTGGAGTTCAGGATTATAAAATTAAGTATAAGAATGAATCAAGTAGCAGGTTGAGGAGCGACTGACAAGTGAGGGTTGTTGACTAACGTTGGGGTAATCTTGCTGGCTCTGCAACACTTATAAGGGTATGTTTACCTCCCTCAACAGAATGTAAAGTCCTGAAGAATAGGGGTTATTTGGTTTTTGTCTCTGTACCCCTAGGACCAAGCAAAGCAAGTACTTAATATATGCTTGTTAACAGATTTAATGGGCTGAAGGTCCACAACTGTTTTTAATTTTATCCAAGTTCTACATCTAACAGCTGATCATTTCTAACAATTTAATTGAGATCGGTGCCTCTTACCAAACACACACTGCACTTCCAACAAAATGTATTGTGATGTTCTATCAACTTTGATGGCTCACTAAAATTCTCAATCAACGGGTTCACTATAAGCACAGGAGTATAAAATGGACAACTGAGGTCACAATTAATTAACTAACTAGTACTAATTACACTTACTAAATTCTGTTTCCTAAAAAAATCATTATGTGTCTTATAAAAACCAATTTGTAGTAAGAAAACCTGGTTTGTACTCCACTATTTGCTAGTTATATGACCTGTGACAAATCACTTAAGTTCTTTGAGGTTTAGTCTCCTTAGCTATGAGATGGGCATTGAATTATTTGCCTTACTTTTTGTTTTCAGAATCAAACAAGAGAACAGATAGGAAAGTGAAAATCAAATTCTTTATAAACATAAATCTACTTTTTAGTGCCCAGTGCAGTACTTTTAGTAGCCAACCAATAGATAATTAATAAATGTTTGTTGAATACATGAAGTGCGTGGTCGTTAGAATTATTAAATGTCTGCAAATTGCTTGTTTCCTCAGATGTTAAAGCTATTAGTGCACAGTTTTATCCTAACTAAGAACAACAAAAATTTTAACTGGGAAAAGTCATCTTTAACATTCAGTGACAGCCTACAGATATCAAATGTGCAGCCTTCATTTTATAGGCACATTCTAGAATCAAATGGTAACCTGGTGTTGTACATTGATTAATGGGTAGATTTCCATTTACTATTATAAAATTTTCTCAAGTACAATAGATCATGAAACATTATCAACAGTGGTTGCTTATTCACATAACAAAACAGAAAGCAACAAAGTCATCCTTTTCCAGTATACTTTCAGTTACCTTTTTTTCCTAATATGCTATTAAAATTCTCAAAAATCACCATCTGCTTTTCATTTGGTAAAAGAACATAAATTTTGTAGAAGAAGAAAGAGAAAAGATAAAATAAGGAAATCCAGCATTGCATCTACATAGCAGGCTCTGTTTATCCTCACACCAGGTAAATTTGGGCACTAGAATAAAATTATATTTGTATAATACATCCCACAAAGTGAATATAAAACAATACAACCAGCAAAGGATTAAGAACTACAGCCATCTCTCAATTATCTACGTGGATTAAACATACAGTGGATCAGCCACAGTAAATATTTAATCTTTTCCACTCAAAGTGCTTCTAATTTACTTCCTAACCCTCTCACTGATATATAGTCAAGAAATACAAGCTAAACTTAATATTAGCCAAAGCAAAATAATTCAATGCATTTTAAAATCAAACAGTTTTTGAATTGTTTGCTCTTTTTGTGTCAACCCTGCTTCTGTATCCTTTTATTATCCTGGATAATTAAGACTTGACTGTAGTAATAGAAAAAAAAAGGGGGTGGGGGTGGGGGTAAGTCAGATCAACAAAGTCCCACCCAACAAAACAAAGGTAAACAAGCCAAAGGTTAGACATAGAAGAAACATATTTTCAAACAATCAGATTACATGTACATAACCTTATCATTCCACCATTTCTGAGGAACCAGAAAGGTATAGATTATGGCTATGAAAGTTAGATGTCAACAACTTTCCTGACACACAGCCTGTTAGGAACCTCAATTTGAAAAGTTTGGATGTTACTGTATAAGGAAGAATCAGATTCTCACTCTGCATAACTGATGGAAAACAGGATGAAAAAGTTAATGATCAATCCAAAGGTCACAGAGTCATAAAACTGAATTTTCCCAACAAATACTGGGGAAAAAGTAAAAGTTTCTGCACTTAGAAAAATGTGAACAAAGAAGTCACCATTGTCCACCTGTTTCTAACTTTCTAACACACTTATATAAGGTAGGCATCTGCATTTGTGTCTTATCCCTGTATTGTCAATTTCATGAGGGTAAGGTGGTTTCTTATTTAAACTCCTATCTCTCCCAGTGCCTCTGCTCACTGTCTGAACTCAAATACTGAATGTATGGATGAATCTATTCCTGGGTGATATTCCTATCCTATGCTCCATTCTTTATAGATTCCAAATGAGTGAGTTCTTGGTGTATTCATTTTGAAAGTTATAACTTTTAATGATTAGAAGAACCCAATTCTGTGGTGCTTTTTTTCTAAATAACTTCTTATATTTATTGAAAATCAATCGTATTGAAAGTGCAAAGTATTACTATTATTTTGACTTACCCTGTCTCCTTCTCTACTTCCTGCTTTAGGGAGCAGCCATGCTGCTGACATCGGTAGCAGAACCACTGGCAGCTTCCTCTCAGTGGTTTTGCTATGGCAAGGAACAGAAGCCCAGAGAATCTTCAAAAGACTTTACCTGGAGGGACAGGGAGGAGCAAGCTACTGGCAGCTGGGGGAGGAGAAGGAGTGCAAGCTAATGGCAGGCGAGGTTGGGGAAGAACGTACTAGAGTTTAATATTCCAGTAGAAATCAATGAAAAGATTTCTGTTACTGCATTAGGACATTAAGAAAACTGGGACTTGTCATATCGATTACATGACTGTGATAAATACTGTAGAGCTACACTTCTAGAATTTTTATAGTTGTGACTTCTAGGCCTCTGACTCTTAAAAAAAATTCAATGAGTCTTCATTCAGACTGAAAAAAAAATCCAGCAAGAATCTATCTGATATTGTGAGAAAAATGAGTTAACTCTAAGTACAATGTATACAAACATAAACACACACACACACACACACACACACACACACACACACACCCTTAAAACCCATTCTGTCTCTGCAAGGCCACATAAGAAAGGTTAGAACATAAGGCACACAAAAGTATTCCCAAAGCAAAGTTTGAGTCCACTTACAACATGGAATGAAATGAAAATGCCACCAAAAGTGATCCTTTAAGGAAAATACTATATCTGGTGTGGAATACATAGATACCTACACAGGCATCAAATGCAGTTTAGTTATCTGCTCTCAAATAGCTGAAAGGAAAAAAAAATCTCTCTTTAGTTTTGAAATCTTTATTTCAGACTGGGTTAACTTTAAATTCTTCTTTACATGAGAATTAATTATATTTCTTGCATAAAATAGAGTCCATAGCTCAGGTTGTATCTGTTGAATATAACTTTATTGGGTTAACATCCTCAAAATTTATTACCAAACTGCTTGCCACATTATCCTAAAATTGTGTTACTGCTATAGAACCTTATCTGGTAAAAACAAAAACAAAAAACAAAAAACCAAGAACACTTATATTTACCTGGAATCTGCAGCAATTTTCTGGAGGCTAAAATGGGAAATCTTTACCAGAGAGCACATACTGATTGTAAAAGATGCAAAACATTATGTGAAATAACAAGTCTGCAAATATTTTTCTGGGAATTCACAAAAGCAGTTGGGTGGGGCATTATTGCCAACTGAGCAATTATGGTATAAAACTGGCTACCTACCTTCCATCGTGTTGGTCAGTATACTGGCTATACTCATTGCTCTTTGCCTTCCAGAAGGGTCTTCTAGCAAATCTATGGATACATGATAAGAACTAGATCGTCTCTTTCTTATTTCTGTTTCTGTAGTGGTGCCCTGAAAAGAATATGCCAAATCAAGGAGCCATCATCCTCTAGCACAGGAAAATCAAACAGATGCTAAAGCATTCCTACAAAAGCAGTTCATGATGCAGAAAGAATGTGTGTTGTGCTCTTTCAAAGCAGAGCACTTCATTAAGTTAAGCTTTTTGGAAGGTGTTTTGAGTTTTTAACATAGGATATTAAATCAAGGATTACTAAGGGGCTAATCAATGTCATTCTGGGGAAACCTTTAAAAAATATAGCAGATTCTCATCTCTCCAGGATGTGCCCAAGTAGTCCTCAATGAAGACATGGAAAGGGAAGAGATTAACATGACTATAAGCCCTGGCCCAGTAATTCTAGACCCTAAAAAAGATAATAAGAATGTTTCTACAGAGGGATAAAACTAATACCAAAAAGGTGATACACCTAATTTAAAATGTGATAGTTTGCTCGCTCTTAGTTATTTCTTCCCGGTTTGGTTTTCATGGGGATCTGTGAGACAAGTACACTTCTGTCTGCTTGGTCTACCAATATGGAAAGCCAAGCAAAGTACAGGTAATGGCTAAGACTAGGAGGGAAGGATTTTTGAGTTTTTTTCCTAGCCCTACTATGATTTATATATAATGTAATTCCCTGCTACTTTTTGGTTTGTTGTCCCATACCAAATTATAAGATACTTCTAGGAAAACAGACTTCACGTGATTCAGTACATTATAAAAGGGATTTATAAAGTTGACCAATTGTTTTCTATTAATATTCCTATAGAAAAAGTTATTTTCTTTTATCAATAGACTCATTCATGAACTCTGAATGCAGATTGAAACATAATTTGTTTATTGTCTTCTTTTTATTTTTTTTCTTAGTCTGTATGGAAATATGTTTTGCATGACTTCACATGTATAATCAATATTAAACTACTTGATTTCTCAAGGAGGGGAAAGGGACAAGACACGAGAGGGAGGGGTTTGGAACTCAAAATTTAAAAAAATAAATGTTAAATATTTAACAAATTTAAAAGAAAAAATGAATATAATCATTAACTATTGATAACATTTTCAAATTTTACTAATTAAAATAACTTTTATAGTTGATCTGATGTTTGCCTAACAATGAAGTGATAATAAAAGTATGCTTTCCTTACTAAAATCCTAAATTATATTTGAAATACCGATGTCAATAGAATGTCAATTATATATAATGAACATATACATATAATTAACATATAGGTACATACAATTGACATTCTTTTGATATGTCTCTCTATATGACATATTTTGACATGCATGTGGATTTGGTGCTTCTGTGGTTTCATAAAAATGGAGGTTATATTCTATGCCAAAATTAAACTCTCTAGACATTCAACATATCTACTTTGAAGGATCAAGTGAATAGTACTTAGGAAAAGACAAAAAAAAGTCCAAATCTAGGTCAACTACTCATCATGAATATGTTGTCTATTAATTTTTTGCTCATTAGGTAAAAAGATCAACAATGTTATTTTCATTCTTATTTTTCTATAAGATGGTGATAAGTGCAAATTCTAGATGAGATATTTCTTTGGGAATGTTTGCTTATACCAAGTGAAAGTCTTTTCACATTAATTTTAAAATCAAATTTAGAAGCGAAGCAAAAATAAGAAGCAAATAAATAACCCAGATATGATGCATGAAATAAGCTTTTAGCTAAAGCTCGCCCTCGGGACTTAAAGCACTGCTTAAATTTTGTCTTTGGAACTAGTATTTTCCAGTTAATTGAATTAATTTTTAAGAAATGATGGAATCAAATAAAGTTTTTTTTTTCATGTCAAACTGGCATCCAATTTTTCTTCTAGCATTATAGCCTTAAAGCCCCACTTCCAATCTGTGTCAGTGGGCATTAAAAGTTGGAAAAGGGAATGGAAGGCCTAGAAGAGACAGGGATTACTTGAGTACCACCCCAAAACTGATCCCAATCTGACTCACTTTTCTTTTAAATGTTTTGTCTTAACTTCTATATTAAGAACTAATAGGTTTATAAGTGACTATTTTTTGCTGATTCCCTACTCATAGCTTAGCCAATATCCTCATCTCATGAATGTAAACATGATTTTTAGACATCAGTCAAGGTAGTTGTGTTTGCTTTCCCAGCAATCTTTGTGTTCACTGTAGTAGGTTAAAGAATTTCAAAATGGCTAGTTAGAAGAGGGCAGAACAGACTGACTATATTCATCTCTGTCAATTCTGGATTTTTCCAGTACTTATTTTCTCAATTTTTGATTTCATTTTTCAGGGCAATCTGACAGCAAGGAAAAACCCCAGGTAGAAAACAGGAAGAAAAAAGATCTACTAATTTTTATTACCCATTCTTAAGTACTCCTTCATAGGAGAGAGAATTGAAAATCGACCTCATAGTTTTAATTCTGTTTTAGCACCTTAGAAGCATTAATAATTGAGACTAGGTAAAAAAAATTCATGAAGTGGATTATAGTTCTGCAACTGAAAAAAATACAATCCATGAAAATGACTCATCAGAGTATAAACTCATTGAGGGCAGGCACTGTTTCTTTGCTTCCTGTGAAGCAAGTACTTGATAAACGCTTGTTGAATTGATTTATCTTTGTTTTCCCAGAACTGAGAACAGGGTCTTGCACTAGTTGGTGCTTAATAACTATCTGAAGAATTGAATTATAGGATTTGGAGTTGGGAGGGGCCTTAGGAACCATTCAATCTCCTCATTTTACAGATGAAGAAACTGAAGCATAGAGAGGTCAAGTAACCTGCTCAGGGTCACTTGGTTAGTACAGAACGCACATTCTCCTGACTCCAAATCAATGATCTCTCCATTACTTGGTGCTGTTTCTTCAATTACTTACCTCCATTTGAATCTTTCTATTCTGTCAAAGAAATATCTAAAATCATTTTGTCTTGCTATCCTAACAGAAATTTGCTTCCAGCTCCACTTTTGCTTTTCTTTGCATTGCCAGAAAAGTGACATTTGGAATAGTTTCTGTATTATTATAATATCTTGGGACTTGGTTTGCAACAGACAGGACAGTGAGACACTTACTAAACTGAAATTTTAAATAGAATACATGACAAACAATGATTCTGGTGATACCAATATCTAAAGTGATTTCTGCTACCAAAGTGTGGTGGCAATTTTTAAAAAAAATGTGCCATTGCATGTATTCATCAGTTAATTCCAGAATGATAGGCCACTCTATGAAGGGTTGAAGTGGCCTATCTGCGGGCAGCAATAGATCGTATTTCAGTATAGTACTTACATAATAACATTCTAGCCCATGTAAGTTACAAATTCCCTTTGTTTAATTATTACTAATTATTAGCTCGCTAAACTGGCTAATTATTTCATAAACTCTAATTTTCCTGTCTTTAAATCAACTAATTCACACTAATCAAATTTAGTCAAGTGGTATAATGGAAAGAGTGCTGGGCTTGACATCAGGACAGGCCTGAGATTGAATCCTACCTCCGGCACCTGCCAGCTGTATGACCTAGAGAAGATATTTTACCTTTTTAAGCTTGTTTCCTTATTTGTAAAATGGATATGACAGCATCTGTAGAATCTATATCTTGAAGGATTTTTGTTAGAAACAGATGAAATAATGCATTTAAAAGCAACTTTCTAAACTTGATTAGCCCAACTCCTGACATTCAGGACTCTATTCTATGCATTTCTCACTAGAGATAAAAGGAAAACCCACTTGTGTCTGAACTAGCTAGTCCCAGCTTTCTTGCATCCTTATAAATAACAGTTTTAATTATCATCACCTCTGGCAGGAGTTGTCCAGTTGGTGACGTAAGGGCTGAAGGTCCACCAACCAGAGAAACCACGCCATTGCAATCCACTGAGCTGTGCATTTTTCCATTCACTGGCAATATGGGCAGCACCCGAGATGATCGGCTGGCTTGACTAACATTACTGTGGCGCCGTTCTCCGTGTCTGTGTGGAACAAACAGGGAATCTCTTCTACTGTCATTGTCTTCAAAAGTACTGTGCTCATCATCGGCAAAGTCATTTTCAGAGCCAATATCTTTTGCTCTACCCCTGAAGCTGAAGATGCTCGTTCGGCTGTTGCGTCTTGGAGAAAAAAGAGAGCCACGGATGCTCAATAAAGACTATTAAAAGCAAAGGAGAGGAGGGGAAGAGAATTACGCACTTGTATTTAAATACACACACATAAAATTTCACTTCTCATTTTATAGGCAGAAAAAATACATCATAATGTGACATCTGAAGCAGTTATTGAAAGTACTCTGAGACTTCCCATATGGATCTCTGATTTCTTCCGTTTATTTTCCTTTCCTTCTTTCCTTTCCTCTTCCTTTCTCTTCTTGTTTCTATTCCTCTTCTCTTTTTTGTTGCTCCTTTTTTCCCTCCCTCCCACTCTTCTTTCCTTCCTTCCTCCCTCCCTTCTTTCCTTCCTCCTTTTCTATTCTTCTCTCCCTCCCTCTATTCCTCTACTCTTTGTTTCCTTCCTTCCTTCCTTCCTTCCTTCCTTCCTTCCTTCCTTCCATTTCTTCTTCCTTTTTTTCACTCCTCCTACTTCCACCTTTCCCCCTATCTCTTTCTGCTTTTCTAATTAAACTTTAGCTGGGCCAGACATATCCCAAGACATCACAGCATTGTTAGTATAACTCGGGACTAAAGAATTTGATGACCCTTACTCTAGAAGCTAATCACAAATGTAAGTCCAATAGAAAGTAAAGATATACAGTACTTACCTACATTTAGATTCTTAAAGATTAAAAATAAACAGTGAAATATCACCATTGACCACAGCAAGCTGAAGATGCTGATTTTAGCACTGAGAAAAATAAAATCAATCTTGCTTCTAGATCTATTTAATTATAGTACAAGGAGCTACTTCTCTTCTTCCTTCTGAATATTTTATTATAGTCTTCATGAATAAATAAAACAAACCAAACTGGAAAGAACTGATTGATTCACTCTCTGCTTTCCTCTCTTCTATCCGTCTCAGAAAATGGAAGTGTATTTTATTTACAAGAAGTGAATGACCCAGTTTATCCAATGATCTGGTCACAAATTACAGAAATATTAACATTTTCCTAAATAGTTTATTCACTTCAGTGACTTGTAATTAGAACTATTTATTTAATTACCTTTTTATGGATGAGCCAATTTTTAATCTGTTTAGTGTCACCAGTGCTAATTTGGTATGATCTTTTCCAAAGTCACCTAAGCTAAGTACAATTATGTGCATAATGTCATACCCATGTTTTAAGTAGGTATGACTCCTGCTTTCAATTTAACTTGGCCAAGTATCTTTGTAATTTATTTGTCAACTTAAAAAATTTTCAAGATAATTTGATATATCTGTTGTTTTGAAGTCTTTGAATAATATACAAATGACAATATTATATTTATTAGAAAGTATATTCTGTTTTGTTACTTGTTACACAGGATTTTCATTTCTTTATTGTTATATATATGAACATATATGAATGATTCATATATATACATATAAATGATTTTCAGAAAACTATTGGGTAACTAAACCTATATTTTTTATGATTCCTGTGTAGCTTTCTTCATGATGTGAGAATTTTAATTACATCTGAAGGTAGGTTATTTGAGAGATTACTATCCATCAGAAATTATCTGATTTTTGCTATTTCAGAAGGCCAGAAAAACACGGTATGGCATCAAGGAAGTACTTAGGAATAAGGATAATTTAGAATGTGTTCATGATGGGAACATATATTTTGATTAAATGAATAAGCACTCGGCACTATGTTCACTAGAAATGATGAAAAGATCAGAAAGTAATAAAATGCTCTGTAAAATTATTTAAGACTCAGAGTGACCCCCACAAGGTCATAATGTACATATGATGTTTGCATGCAAATTGGATTTGTCCAGCATTCATCAGCTTTAGAGCTTATTCCTCACCTGATTATCAACATTTTATTTCTGAGATAAATATCATTTCCATAGCAACCAAATGCTATGACCCAAATAGAAAATAAGGAAAAACAGCCAAATCAAATGAAATTCTAAGGAACAGAAATCTATTTATGTGTGGGAAATTAAAACCTGAGAAGACACACTGTAAAGCATCAGGGAAATATTTCCAAATAAAGTGTTTTTGCTCAACTGACTAAGCTGTTAAAAAAAAAAAGATCCACCCTTTCTCTAATACCACCCTTCAATTAGCTTTCAGTAAATATTTCACACCTTAGAACAATGGTCAACTAGGACAATGGCCAAATCTGGCCCACTGCTTATTTTTATATGGCCCTAAAATTAAGACTAATTTTTTATATTTTAAAATATGATGAGCCATACATGTAAAACAGGCAACAGGGAACTGGCTGACCTCTGCCTTAGAAGATACATCACTGAGAATTGTCAAGTAGGATGTAGTTATTTAACCTAAACTCCTTTCTACAACTGTCAACAATATCAGCAATTTTCATGTCCTCCTCTTTTCCTGTCACTAAATATTTTTCTCTTAAGTAAACCATAGTTAACGTAACAAATTGATTAAACAATAGAAATTCTGTGACTTTTAGAGAGGCTAGAGGAATAATGTAGGGGACAAGGAATTAAGATACTAGGTCATGAAATGAGACTTGAGACTATACAGAAACTTTTGAAGAAGTTATAAAAGTTCTGCAATGTTTGATGAAATGCTAAGAAGCTTTGATTTAGAAATGCTAAACATTGCTTATTTTTGTTGTCAGCTTTATCATATTAAAAGAGAAGTCATGTTGGAATATGACCAAGATGAAAATTTGTTTAGCTTGAGTACACATATTTGTTACAAGGGTTTTATATTTCTTTTGTTGATGTTGTTTTGGGAGGAAGGGGTATGAGGAGAAAGAGGCAATAAATACTTGTTAACTGAAAAAAATTAAATTTTATTAAGAAGAAAGAGATGAGCTTTGTTACTGAGGATAGACTATAACTAAAGAAAGCAAAGGAAACTGGAGACTTGTTTGGGATGATACCCTTTGTTGTCTCTTTAAGTGATTTAATTTTATAAAATTATGCAAGAGTCAAGAAAAGCAAGGATTTTAATGAAAACTGAAAATGGGGCAGGGTGGGGGGAGGGAAGAAAAAAAAAAGAAAATTACATGATAACTTTGTTGTATATTTAAAATGAATAGCAAGTTCCATGTACTATATTTGCAATTTCATGGGCAATCATCTCTTTTATATGTTAGAGAAGATAACATATAGAATAACATGTTATATGTTATGTTATAGAAATGTTTGTTTTATCCCATAAATTAAAAATAAAATAAATTTTAGAAAAAAAAAGAAAAGTGAAAATGTGGTCCATGACATTGGTTCTATATGTTCAGCTTTTGATACTATCATCAGAGGGAGCATTTTCAGAGTACTGATTAGCGAGAAAAGTGTTGGTAAAAACTTGGCAGGCTGGTAAAAAGATATGAATTGTGTTGTTGTTTTTTTATGAGCCTAATTCTTTTCAAAGCTTGGATGAAGTGCTTTTAAAAGAGCATAGTCACAAGAAGCATCTTCACATAACTAATCAGCAGTCTTTTGGTGTTGGTAGCCTTCTATTGAGGACATTATTATCACAACAAAATTTTTACCATAACAATTATAATGACTATAATAACACCCTTATTAATGAATAGAATGCAGTAGAAATTATACAAAAAAGAATAAGTGTTTGGTCTGGGATGTTGAGTATTGGGACTATGACTCAAAAAAATACTAACTAAAATAATATCTGATCTCACATGTCTTGTGTAAATTGGAAGGGAAGGTCAGTGATTACAGGATCATACCTTTAAAACTGGAAGAGGCCCTCGAGATCATCTAGTCCAACTCTTTCATATTACAAATGAGGAAAATGAGGCCCAGAGAGGTTAAATGACTTGCTCAAGGTCACACAGTAAATCTGTGTGACCTTGAGCAAGTCATTTAACCTCTCTTACTGTGGCAGAGTCAGAACTCAAACCTAGATCCTCTGTTCCATGTTGCCTCTCACGAGCTTTGGTAAGGCATAGATGATATGTGCTTATGGAAGATTCTATCATACATGCTTCTACGTACTGGAAGAAGCCAATGACAAACACAATGAGACTCTCTTGTGTTTGAGAATCTTAGCCAGGATGGAAGTTTGACTTTCTGTAAAGCACCTTTATTCTTAGGGGATTTGTTAGTGGGGAGTTTCCACATTTTAGAACTTAAATAATTACCAATATAATCATAACTATAGCAAAAGTAGGATAAGAAGAAAATATAGGCAGTTGGTTGAGACAATAGTTCCATTATAAAGTTGAAGTAAAACCCAATTTTATAATATCTTTTCATCTTATATTTTATGCAGCTTCTGCAGGAAATTTGTTAATTTGCAAGGGATATACATGCACTGGGCTCAAGGTACATGAGACTGTGCATATGAGAAAGTAAAGAAGTTATCCTTGGGCGTATTAGGACTCCTGGACATACATCTTTTAGATGAAATCTAAATGTAAAAGTCCTGATAATTTTTTAAAGACATTCTCTGGATTTCTATGAATAGCAATCTCTTTTTCAAATTCCCATCCAAGGAATTAGTCATTAGCACAGGGAACTCTTGTTATGTGAACTCCCCTTGCCAATGCAGACTACAAACTCCTTATGACTCAGGAGCTATGTTGGGGGGAGTTACCTGGGTCACAATGCAGTTAAGTGACATTCCCAGTGTGATACAGCTAGTGGAAATGTTACTCTTTGCCTAAAGTTCTAAGTTTCCTTGAGTGTAATTCTCTTTAGAATTTCAATCACACAGCATTTTGGTTACCCCATTAGAATCATTTCCCACCCCCCTACTTCTTACTGAAACAATGCCAGGTGTAATGAACCATTCATTTTTGATGGTGCAAATAGCAGATAGACAACCTAATGTCCTGTTCAGGAACAGATACTATTAACCTATTAATAAGCTCTTAGCACATAACATTCTTAATAAATGCTTGATGATTGATATTCTCCACTTTGTAGCTATGTGGTACAGTGGATAGACCATTGGGCCTAAAGTCAGGAAGACCTGAGTTCAAATGTGATCTCAGACACTTACTACCTGTGTGACCCTGGGCCCGTCATTTCATCTCTGTTTGCCTCAGTTTCCTAATCTGTAAAATAGCGATAATAACAGCACCTACCTCCTAGGGTTGCTGTGAGGATCAAATGAGATAATAATTATAAGGTGCTTAGCACAGTGCCTGGCACATAGTAGTTACTATATAAATATTCACTATTATTATTATTATCATTAATGGAAAATAGTAGATTTTAATTGCTAACTCCTGTTAGTGTAGGTTAAGACTGATGAGCAGCAGGAGCCTTGCCGCTCAGCAACCCATAGCATCGTGGAGACATTGGGACAGTAGACAATAACTCTGAACCACATATCCAATATGTACTCTCTACATACAGACATCATAACTTCAAAAATATGAACCCAGTAAAACCTGCGGTTTCCAAATATTCCATAAACTCTAAAATTTTTTATCAAGTTTTTTCACTGAATATACAACTCACATGTTCTTAAAATTGATCACAACAGATATCTATATCGATTATCAATCTGGCAGCATTATGCTATGTATCCATGAGACAACCTACCAAAATAATGAAATTTCTCACCATATACAGTAAGTAGCTCATGACTATAATTGCTGCTACCACGGAGGCGGAGGTGAATAGATTTCTTGAGCTGAAGAATTCTGATACATGGCAGGCTAAGTTGATCTAGTGTCCACACTAAGTTCAACATTAACATGGACCTCCATGAATTGGGATAGGAGAGAAGGGATGGAGGAGGAACCAGGTTATTTAAGGGAGACAAAACCAGATCAAATTGGAAAACACATTAGATCAAAGCTCCTGTGCCAATCAGAGTGGGACTGGCCTGGAAGTAGGCCCTGCAGTTTCTGCATGGCCAACATAGACAGTCCTAGTCTTTAAAGACAAACAAACAAACCCTCCAAGAAAACCATCATTCTAGTACCAACATACAAATTCCTTCATCAAAAATTTGTACCTGGTGGGGAGAAGAGAACCTCTTTTCATAGGTCAGGCGATTTCCTTCGATAGAAAAACGAAAACCTTTCCTTCTGATACTATCTTCAGATTCAGATTTGTGGAATTCCTCTTCTTCTTGCTTCTCTTCTTCTCCAGACTGTTCTTTCTGTTTCCGTTTCTTCCTCCGGTTCCTCCTTTCTTTTGCACTTTTTGAGCTCAACTTTGATGCTTCTGAAGAGCTCTCTGAGAAGCCTCCTACCCCACCAGCTCCACTGAATTCTCTTGATTCCGCAGATGCTGCTGCTGCCGCTGCCTAGTCAGGGATAAAATATGTGGTAGTTGTATGCAACTATACTTTTAAAAAATATCTCTATCTTTGTCATTAGTATGATCATATAAAATGTCTGTTTTTTATTTTATTAATGAACAATGCAACACAGTAGTAATACTGACCTAACCGAATATGGAGAAGCAATATGATGAAAAATATTGGACTTAAGAACCAGAAGACATGAATTTGACTCTTGACTGTGTCTTACTAGTTGGATGACAATGGAAAAGTCACTTAACCACTATGACCCTCAGTTTCCTCATCTGTAAAATGGGGATTAGGGAATAATACTTGCATCACATACCTGATGGGGTAGCAAAAAGAATTAAATGAGATAACGTATATAAAAGTGCTTTAGGCCTGGTGAGTCAAGGAATTTTGCAGTGGCTTACATGTGGTCTTGAAAAGAAACTTGAGCAGAGACTAGCCATATCAGACTTTAAAATGATTTTTTGATATAGCCAAGAGACTCCAATTATCACAAGACTAAGCTCTACCTTTGCTAGTATTTAAATACGTGTCATAAAAGGCAAACAACTTCAGAAATGAACCACTCTGTTCCCTATAATTATGAACCTAGTGAGTGCTTACCTTTTTGCCACTCATTCATTTAAAAATAGTCTACTTTTAGTGGTAGCACAAATTAATGCTATTTAATTCTGACAAAAATATTTTTATTCTACTGAATAAATGCTTTTCAGTTTGAACTGTTAAATTGAGGGCTTCCAGTATAGGATAACAACAAAGACAAACTACAGATCATATATATTAGGGTAATCTAGATGGTAGGAAGTTGTGTGGCTTAGCTAATTAATGATTGTAAGGAATTTGAAAAGCTACAGCTACAAACAGTTAAGCACCACTATTACTGAACAAGCATTTTTCATTGGTTCTGTCAATATGCATTTTAAAATACTCAGTGTTAAAAAGCAACAAGGTCCTCAACAGCAAAAAAAAAAGTGCCTTAGAGGAACTATTTCCAAGAAATTGTTCCCCCCAAAAAACAAATGAGAATAAACTATATTCTTTCCTCATTGTGAAAGCTTATTATGTCCACATGCATGGAATTATCAGGGAGTGGGAAAAGATGACATAATTTATATATGTTTATTACAGCTTTACTTTATGTTTATATATGTTTATTCCATGTTATTTGACACACCTTGTCACCCACTCCTAAGAACTGAGGAAAATAAATAGCTATAAGTAATGAACAGGTGTTTAACATTTCCAGTTTCTATGAAGCATTTCCTGGGCTGTTAGAACTTTACCATTCTGAGGATCCTGCAGAGAAGAAATCTACAACTTGATTAACCACCTGACAATACCTGAGCTTCTTCTTGTTGCTTCTTAAGCTGTTCCAGCATCTGCTGAAACTCAGCCTCCTTCTGCTCTGCCTCTTCCAAGGTGGCCTGATTCTGCTCCTCGTAGGCCATGGCAACCACAGCCAGGATCAAATTGATAAGGTAGAAAGAGCCCAAGAAAATCACCAGGACGAAAAATATCATGTAGGTCTTGCCAGCTGCACGAAGAGTCTGAGGAAAGAAGTGGGGAGGGGGAGAGTTGGTTTACTGTCCATCTGCCTTCAAATGGTTTGATCCCATGACTACATTTTTAATCATCGGAAGTCATTGATTTAACTCAGATCTCACCAGCTGATAAAGGTTTTCCCAGAAGTCCTGAGTCATCAGGCGAAACAGGGACAAGAAAGCCCAGCTGAAGGTGTCAAAGCTCGTGTAGCCATAGTTGGGGTTTCTGCCAGCTTTCACACAAATGTATCCTTCTGGACACTGGCTGCAATTAGATGAGAAGATAGGAAAGAAATTATATCTGCACATCTGTTCTTTGATTTTTCTGTTTACAGATTTTTCGATCGCTATTTTACATGACAAATTCACGGAAGGAGGAACAAGCATATGTGAAGCATCTACTCTGTGTAAAGCACTGTGCTAAGTGCTTTATATTATCTCATTTGATCTTTACAACAATGCTATAAGGTGCTATTATTATCCCCATTTTACATTAGGAAACTGAGAGAGACAAGAAGTTAAGTGACTTGTCCAGGGTCCACCACTAGTAATTTCTGAGGTAAGATTTGAATTCAGGTCTGTCTTGACTCCAGGCCCAGTGCTCTCTTCTCTGCGCTACCTAGTTAGTTGCCTTACTACCACAAGGACCTTTTCTGTTTAGCTCATTTCATCCTGCACTAAACATAGTTTTAGGTTAATTAATTCCTAAAGCTCCTGAAAAACTATGAAACAGTTTGATGCCAGGTTTTTATTCTGAGTCACCTCAATACTCAATGTTCCTTAATGTATAATTAACATATTTATTTGTGAAGATGACATTTTCACTAACAGATTAATATACCCTCCTTTTTTTTTCTGGGACCTGATAACTAAGTACAGAGAAATAATGACTTTGTGCTATGTCATTTGACTTGACTTGCCTCTGAAAGAAAATGTCAGAAGGGCACATCTTACTAGATGACCATACATTAAGGATAAAATCTATTGGAATGGACCAGGACAAAAACTTTAGATTCAGATTGTGATTCACTGTATGGAAGCACATTAAAAACCTGCCTTTTAACAAAACTGAAAAGTATTAAGAAATAATATTTTCCTCTAACACCCTTCCCAGACCTCCGGGAATAGCCTTGTAGAAAAGTGGGTAATAGATAGGCCAAGGACGAGAAGGCCTTTCTTTGAGAAATAAATTAAAGGTGATAACAACTTACAGCTTGTCTCATTTACATCACTGACTTTCTCACTCTTGAATCCATTGGTGTTAGGACCCACCCAAGGGAAGTGCCCTTTATTTCACTGAAAGGGAGGTACCCTCATGCCTCAGATTCAGAATATTGATCTCTCTCATTGATCCTTCCTGTTTCCTCCTCTGTAAATGGAATAATAATAACTACCTGTGAGGATTAAACGAGGTAATATTTGTGAAGCACTTAGCACAGTGCCTAGTACATGGTAGGCTTCAAATAAATGCTGGTTTCCTTCCTTCTTTGTCATCTTAATGGACAAGCCAAATTCTAAAATCCTTCTGCCAGTAGTAATTTTGACATAGGTAGTGGTGTGCTTGTTTGACAATTGACTCGCCGGAAAAAAAAAGAAGTACTCATGACACCTTTTTAAGTTTAATCTGCATTAATAACATTTTCTCCATCATTTTGTGAAATCTAGACCATCAACAAAACAATAAATCAAACCCTGATTTGTAGTGTTTGCCCATTTTAAAGGTGTAAATGCTCACACTAAAAATTTAACAACTGGCTCTAGTGAACAGGGGAGCTATATCCTGCACAACCCTGGCACGTATTATAGCATTAGTGGTTTCTATATAAAGAATAAAAACCTATTGTACTTGACTTTTGAGCTTTTAGGGGCAAGGGCAGCATCTCATTCATCTCTGAATCCCTCAGTCCCTTTTATGTAGAAAGATCTTAATAAATATTTGTTGAATCGACTTTGGCTAAGTTATTTTTTTAAATGTAGAATATTTCCAAATGGAGATCCTGTCCTCACAGAAATTATTCTGTTCTCCCTTCTTATAATTAATAATAACAATAACTAACATTTACATAGTATAATATGCCAGGTTCTGTGCTAAGTGCTTTGCAATTATTAACTCATTTGGTCCCCATAAAAACCTTGTGAGGTAGGTGCTATTATTATTCCCATTTTACAGATGAGGAAACTGAGGCAGACAGCAGTTAAGCGACATGCCCAGGGTCACACAGTTAGTAAGAGTGTGAGGCCAAATTTGAAACTCAGATCTTCCTGAGAGACCAGCATTCTAACCACTGCACTACCTAGCTAACCCAACATTGGATTTGGAGTCAGAAGACCTATTTTTGAAACTAGCTCTAAAACTTATAAGTTGTAGGACTATGGACAAGTCATTGAAATTCTGAGCATTGGTTTCCTTGTCTGTAAGAAGGGGACCAATAAAATTTTATATAATCTTCTTCACAGGTCTACAGTGAGGAAAGCATTTTGCAAACTGTACATACTCATCAAGGGGGGCTACTATTATAAATAAACCATAATGTGCTCTGTGCTGAACAGATTATAGCTAGGACATAAGCGGGACCTTCCAGGAGTTTACATTCTAGTATGACGTGACACAACACTAGTTAATATCATGCACATGAACCCTAAACAGAAACAGTCCACTTCTTATGACTAGTTTCAGTTTTTCTCTTTTTGTTTTTCATTGTACTCGATTGATTTGATGTGGGCAAGTAGGATAGGGAAGGGCTTGAATGCTTGAAGAAACTGCAAATTCATACTCTGTCCACCCATTTTGGGAATTTTGTGGGAAGAAAATGGTGGCCTGGTGTATAGGCAGTGGGAGGTTATTCTAGGCAGATAGCATAGCATGGCATGACACAAAAGGAAAAAAGTTCTTACCCTGCATCAGAACTGTTACCACAAAGTAATGCATCATTTTGCCCTTCCAAAATGTAAAAATGACCTATTTAAGGAATAAGAAATAAAAAGTTGTAAAACTGAAAGTTTTTTAGCCAATATATCCACATACTTAATGTCATAATTTTTGTCCTATTTCAGTGAGAATGGGGACAAACTAAAAAGGAACAAAATTCTGGGCAAAACTGTCACTTTATTAAAGTTCGTAATTTACACAGAAGCAAAGGCAGTATATTGCATTTGCTAACCAAACTTTCGAAGATCAGTGTCAAAAGAAGTCATACCACATCAAATGGATATTTGTTGCTAAACCCAAACCAAAACTATTCCTAAAAACAACTGTGCCAAGAAAAAACAAAATAGGACAGAACTATTAATTCAAGGCCCTTTTCTTGGCTCAAAAAGTGGAAGGGGAAGCCTAGCTGCTATTAAAACACACTTATGCATCAAAAGGATTACTTCATATTTTTTAAAAGCTAGATGCATAAATAGATTTGAACACACTACCTCCCTTATTCCTTCAAATCCCCCCACATTTCAGCCTTGTTTTCTGTGGGCAGTGGCATTTTTTTTCGTCTTTGAACGAAGAAATAAGTAAAAAAATTGACCCTTTTCAATTTGAAATGATAGACTTGCTTCTTTCTGGATATACACTTCCAGAGTACATTGGGGTAATTTCTTTTCAAGGCATATAAAACTATGACCCAAAGCAATAAAATTCTGACACTTTTTCTGTCTACCTCCTCCCTTCCCAGGCAATTTAATTATGACAGAACAAAGGTTAAGTAACATTGGCAGCATTTAAAGTCTGTTCAAAGCAGGTGGTCTATAAAAAGGCTTTTTTTAGACCTTGAAATCTGAAAGCAAATCCCACTGTTACTAAAACTGATCCCATTTCTCCCGGGGTAACCTTTACTGATCTTTCTAACTCCTAAACAGTGCTGAGTGATATGACTTCATGAGCTTCCAAGGATAGGGTTGTAGAAACATATAGCAAATGAATGACATCCTGAAAAGTAAATAATACCAAAAGGCGCTATTATCAGAAGCAGAAGGTTAATAGAAATAGGCTGAAAAAACTGAAAAACCTAGAGAAAAAATTTAAAAGGCTCAGGCTTCTTATTGAAGGGTCCTATAAATGGGAAATGATATCCTATAAATGGTCCTATAAATGGGACAAAGAAGAATTATAATGGATATATGATGAATTTATAGTATTTTTCAATACAAAAATCTCTAACACATAATAGGTTATCTACCATGGAGGAGCTAAGACCATGATGGGGTATGATCCAAAAAGATAATTTTGACAGATATGCTAGTGAAATAAAGCTAGACAATGGTATAACAATGGCAGGAAATTTGCAAAATAGTTCCAAAGTGAAATTTGTTCACATGTATACCATTCTTTCTTGTGACAATGTGTGCCTAACAAGAAAGACTTCCATTTAATCTCTTCCCACACCATCTGATAACTCTTTACTCATATACTTTCATGGACAGTAAAGTATGAAGAATATTAGAGGACAAGACAATGCGTTAAAAAGTATGTATGAGGAATAAATTAAAGATTGAATTTGTAGCACTCAGTTTTATGTAAAATACGTAAATTTGGATTTTATCGCTACGATAATAGTACCTCTATTTTTAGACACCAATGTTAAAGGAAAAAGTCATCACGGCCACATACATACATCACCATCAAATCAATCAACTAACTAGTTCTAAACTGATTTTTTTCTGCCATATTTTAAAAAAATAATTGTTACAAGTTACTTAACTTCTGAGTTTCAGTTTCATCTATAAAGTGTAGTAGAAGGTTTCCAATGTTAACATTCAACTTTGGAGTTGTATAACACCTAGGAGAACTTAGATGAAATTTGTAAGGCAGGGAGTGCAATATAATGGAAATATAATGGACACAGGCTCTGGATCTAGAGGACCTTGGTTCAAATTCTCCTTCTGATGCTTATTACCTGTGTGACCTTCATCAAGTTACTTAACCTCCTAGGCCTAAGTTCCTTCATCTTTAAAATGACAGAATGGGAAATCCTATAAATATGGCTCTATTAAACTCGATTATCCCCTCAAGTTATCAACCTATATCTCTTCTCCCTTTCTCAATGAAATTCCAAGGGGGAAATGTCTATACTTCCTGCTTCCACTTCCTCTTCTCTTATTTATTTCTCAAGTTTTCCCAATATGGTTTCCAACCTCATCATTCAACTAAAGCTGCTTTCTCCAAAGTCTCCAATGATCTATTAACTGCTTAATCTGATGGTGTCTTCCCAATCCTCATCCTCAACATCTCTGCAGAATTCCATATCAACAAGTATTTATTAAATAACTTTTTCTCTGTCTGGCACTGTAGCATTAGATACAAAGAAAAGCAAAAAATAATCTCTGCTCTATGTCTAATGGGGGAGACAACATGAAAGCAACCATGTAAAAACAAGATATATGGAGCATAAATTGGAGTTAATCACAAAGGGAAGGCACTAATATTAAGGACAGTGCGGATTCCTCTCTGAGTTTCCACTACACTGCTTTTCCTTGGTTTTCCCCTTACCAGTCTAATTGTTCCTACCTCAAGCCATCATTCATATCATGCCCCATTCAAATGCAGGCATACTCCAAAATTCTGTCCATGGTCTTCATATTTTTTCTATACATATTCTCCTTTGGTGACCTCATCAGTTGCAATGGATTTAATTATACTCTCTATGCTGAATGATGCCTAGCTCCCTATAATATATCTAGCCCTAATCTTTCTCCTGAGATCCAAACTCAATATACTGAGAATTTCAAACTCAATATACTATAGACATCTCAAACTCAACATGTCCTAAACCCTAAATTTACCTCTCTTCCACATTTCTCTATTTCTGAAGATGTCACCATTCTTACAGTCACCCAAGTTGATGACTTTGCTGCCATCCTTATTCCTAACCCAACCTACCAGATTAGTTGCAAAATAGTATAGTTATTATTTCTACAACATCTCTTCAATGTACCATTCTTTCCACTGCAGTATCCTAGTTCATGTCCTCACCTGTCCATCACTTCTCATCTAGACTATTACAATGGCCCTCTAACTGGTCTCTTTGTTTCAAGTCTCTTTCCACTTCTAATTCTTTTTACACCTGGCTATCAATGTGATTTTCCTAAAGTGCATGTCACTTTCATATTCAATGAAACTCTAGTGACACCCTGTTACTACTAGAATAAAATATGAACTTTCTAGTTAACATTTAAAGCCATTCTCAACCTGACCCTAACCTACCTTTTCAGTTTTATTAAATATTACTTCATTTCAATCCAGTCAAGCTGGCCTTTTTACTGTTCCTCATCCACATGGTTCTCTATGCTTTTGCAGTGGCTGTGATCAATGCCTGAAATGGACACCCTTCTCAACTCTACTTCTTAGAATTTCCATTGCCTTCAACATTTAGGTCAAGCACCATCCTCTCCATGAAGCCTTTCCCAATCCTTTGGCTGCTGCTTCTGTCCCCTCCAAATGATCTTGTATCTATTTTGCACATACCCACGTATGTACATGTTATCCCCTATAGCTAGATTGTAAACTCCATGAAATCAAAAGCCACTTAATTTCTAATTTTGTATCCCCAGCATTTAGCAGTGCCAGACACATAGCTATTGCTTCATAAAGGCTTATTGATTGATTGATTGATTGATTGATTAAAAGGCAAACTAGAGCCAGATGGTGAAGTATTTTAAATGCCAAGGCAAGTTAGTTGTATTTTATCCAAGCAGCAGTAAGGAACTACTGAAGACTCATGAGCAGGTAAGTGACATACCGTTGCTTTATGAAGATTATTTGAAGGACATATTAGAGAGGGAAGGCAACTACAAGCAGGAGACCAATCAAGAGGCTATGAAACTGTCCAGGAGATAAATGACAAGGGTCCGAACTAGAGTAATGACTGAGTGACTGAAGAAAAGTCAAGCAGTTTGAGAGATGTAAAGGAGGAATTAAGGTTTGGCAAATTAATGGATGTTGAGGGCAGGTAGGGGCAGATACTTAGAGCTGAGAAAGACTTCAAAGTTTCAAATCTCAGACAGGAGAAAGATTGTGGTGACCTCAACAGACATAGTGAAATTTAGAAGAAAGATGGATATGAGGTAATAATGAGTTCCATTTTGGACATGTTTAATTTGGATAGAGATATCTATCAAGCAGCTGATAATGCTTGCCTGAAGCTCAGGAGAGAAACTAGGGCACATTTATAGTTTTAGTTGTTATACGCAGAGAGATGACCAATGAATCCATAGGAGCAAATAAGATTCCCAAGAGATAGGATGGAGAGCAGAAGAGAATAGAAGAGAGGAGAACAAAATAGAAGAGAAACCAGGAGAAAATCTTGGGAGACACATGGGAGTGGGACATGAATGATGATCCAATAAAGTTGACTGAGGTCAGAAAGGTAGAAAGAGGACCAAAAGAGACTAGGAGAAAAGGTAGTGGTGGTAGTACCTAAAACTGCATAAAGTTCAAGAACAGTGAAGACTGAGAAAAGGTCACTGGATGTAGCAATGAGATCATTGAAAATGCTGAACAGAACAGAATCAGGTGGAAGCCAGACACTGTGATTTCAATAATATGGCTACTCTCTTCAACCTTCTCAATGCCTTCTCAAGGCCGACTTTTTAATCCTGTAAAAATCTTGCCCATACCCTCATAAATCCTTTATGTGGGATCACTCACTAAGGTAGAGGCCTTCCAGTAGATTTCTTGAAATTATGTGGATACATGTGGACTATCTATTTCTTACCTCTCAATTGCTTTGCTAGTCATCCACCTCTTCACTATCTTTTACACTGCTTCTAGCATGCAACTGTGCTCATTGTAAGTTGCCCTGCATATTGTAGGGTTCCCTAAAGGAGTTCCACAATAATTCAGTATAGTTTGGACTAATTATCAATATAGGAAAAGAAAAGTAGATGAATAATGCCTATTGTTAGACTACAATATACAGTTTATTATGTGTAGAACTGACCCACAAATAAACAAACAATGAAATAAATAAGTGAATGAATGAATATAATACACATGTATATGTCATCTATATTAGAATGTCAACTCTTATTAGTATAATATCTGTGTATCTCAGACAAACATTATAATAGATAGGTAATTAACTGGGCCCAGAATTATAAAGGAAGGAGATTGTAAGCTTGATTGTATTCACACAACTATATAGTTCTTCTAATGATCTAAAGCTTCTCCCTGAAATAAAGAGCCATCTTTTTAACACCAAGATTTTTTCTGTGAAGCTATATTGCTATAAATCATGGGAAAGTAAAGTCTCTGAAGAATTAAAATTATGAGCTATTCAAAAGATAATGGAGACAATTGTGGTGAGCGTAAATATGGTGTAGCATGAGGAATCAGTCACTAAGTACAACATAAATGGTATTATATTTTTGGATAGATAAGGAATGGAAATTGATAATCTATCTTTGCATGTCTCTACTTCTTTTCTAGACCATAACTGTGATTTCTTCAATATATGGAACTTCAAGTGGGAAAACTCCCTATAACAGCACTGAGCAACAATTGATTTGTCAAGTTACTTGCCCAGGATCCCAGAGATTGTATGTGTCAGAGAAGGGAACAGAACTCAAGTCTTCTTGACTCCTCGGCTAACCCGTGATCTAGTAGCCATGTTGCTTCTCTTTTCCATTAAGGGTACTTGAAGTTTTTAATCTCTTAGCTTACATTACAACAGAAATAATTTTCAGGTGGGTTTTAAATTCTTTTTATCAATAACACTTTAGTAATTGTTAAAACAGAATGTCTTACTTTTGTCCTCAATGTAGTCATCCCAGTTAAATGTGCTCACTGTCTTATTGTAATAGGTACCATTTCCATCCCATGAGCTATTAAAGTAGGAAGTAATATTTATTTCAAAGGTAGAGTTATCTGGGGGCCATTGCAAACATTTATTCCTCAGGTTGCCCATGAACAGCTGCAGCCCAATGAGAGCAAATACACTCAGACAAAAGACAGTCAGGATCATGACATCAGAAAGCTTCTTCACTGACTGGATCAGGGCCCCCACAATAGTCTTCAATCCTATGAGAAGAAAAAAACAAAAATAGAGAAAAGGTCTTAATGATGCTATTCAAAAGCTACTTAACCTATCAAAACATTATGAGTTTGTCCTGCAAAATAAAGTTTCATGCATAATGCCAACTATATTAGTTTAATGTCTGTGGCCGAGTAATGTTTTCATGAAAAGGCTGCTAGCTTGTGAAGATGAATGAATAGCTGAACTGTATATGTTCACTGGAAAATTAGAAATGGAAATGGAAATTGCATATTTCTAAACACTTCGTCTTACAGCAAAACGAGTGATTTTGTTATTCATGCTTGTACATCAACCCTCTGTAAACAGTTTGCTTTTATTTACAGATACCTCACTCCCAAAACTCTTAGCTGATTTTAGAAAAATTTATGTGACTACAATAGTATGAAACATTAAAGTGATGAAAGTGAGATGAGATTACATTTTAATGTATACTACGTGCCAGGTTTGGAGGAGGGAGACATCTGAAAATTGAGGCCCATGCAACACCCATGCTATTTTTCATCATTTCATTAATTCTGCAATTATGATGGCAAGTCTGAGCCCTAAGTGCCTGCAGTAAATTGCCAAATTTGCATCAGTACGAAAGCCTCATAGTTTGGTTTCTATGTAAAAAAGGAAAGCTTGATGTCATCAGATGCAAACCAAACAGGCCGTATATCGCAAATGCCTCATGCAAAAATATGTTAAACTCAAAGGCTGATTTAGAAAAAAAAGAAAGCTAATACTAAAAAAGCAAAGAATCACATCAGATTAAAATCTAATGTCCCAATTCCTGCTTTTTATATATAGATATATGTAACAAGTAACAAGCAACACTGCTTATGCTGAAAAGCTGTGATATCAAATTCAATGCAACTAAAGTCAGCCTCGGTGTTTAACCTGGCTCTCACCTGGAATGACCGAAATTGTTTTCAATGCTCGGAGAACTCTGAATGTTCTCAACGCTGAGACATTGCCCAGGTCCACAAACTCTGTCACATATCTGTATAGGGGAGTTCACACACAAACACAATGACAGCACACAAGAAACAGCTGGAGATACGAGGGGCCTACCACCTTACACCAGTCAGCTTCTTACCTGGGATTACAGAAATAGTTTTCAAAGCTCTCAAGACTCTGAAAGTTCGAAGAGCTGAAACATTGCCTAGGTTTACAAATTCTGTTACATACCTGTAGAATTAAACCAGAGTTATTCAGAATTTTGGAAAAACTTAGTCTGTGTTGGTCTTTCATCGAGACCTTTTCAACGGCTATTAAGTATTCCTGATTTTTAAGAAAAAAAAATAGCATTGTCGCCCATCATGATCATTTTCAATTTTAGGGCATCTGATTTGGCCATTTGGTAGCTATATGTCAAAATAGCCATTTTAATTACATGAGAAGATCTAGGAAACACTCCTTTTCATCTAACAATATAAGGTTAAGTGAATTGGTCAGTTCTGACTTCTCTACTCTCTCCCTCTCCATATATTACTATTTGGAGAGTGAAGGAGAAAACGAAACACTCTAACTTTTCTTAGTAGCTAAAGTAAATGCTTGCTCTGGTTAATAGGAGATAGCTTAAAAGGACACTACGATATTGGCGACCACCAAAGATTTACGCTCCCCCACTGAAAAATGGTTAAAACACTTACGCAAAAGTAATGACAGTGAAATCAAGCCAGTTCCAAGGGTCCCGGAGAAATGTGAAACCTTCTAAACAGAAGCCCCTTGCAAGAATTTTTATAAGTGATTCAAAGGTATAAATTCCTGTGAATGTGTACCTGAAGGAAAATAGCCAAGAGAGGATTAAATATTGAGAGGTTAACATGATAGTATATCTCTTACAGAAAAGCTTCCATTCAATTCTGCGAATATATATTGTCTACTCAATGCCAGGCACTGGGTTTGGTGCAAGAAATGTAAAGAAAAAAAACAACCCAGTTTCTAGGCTCAAGGAAACAAGAGTTGAAGAAATAATAAGTTTGATAACAAGGTACTAAATGGTAAGAGCAAAGAAGAGGTATGGACACATTGCAACAAGAAATCTAAGGAGGGAGAAAGGACTTTGAGCTGGGGAGAAGATTTTGTGGAGGTAATATCTAAATTGGGCCTTGAAGGAAGGTAAGGATTTCAGTGGGGAGAGACAAAGAAGAGGGGATGATCTGCATGAAACCACAGTGGGAGGAAAGGGAAAGTTATGATCAGAGAACAGTGAGGAGTCTGGTTTGACTGGGACTCAAAATACATGCAGGGAAGAGTAGTAGTGGGAAATAAAGCCTGAAAAGCCCAGATTGTGAAGGACCTTAAATATCAGACTAAGACATCTGTACATTATCCTACAGGCAGTAAGTGTTTGAGCAGAAGCAGGACATGTTCACTAGGCACTAGGAAGTATAGTGGGTAAAGAGCACCTTTACAGGGGTGTGAAAGATTCATTAGAGAGGGTAGACACTAGAATCAGGGAGACTAGTTAAGAGGTTGCAAAAAAAAGAAGTCTAGATAAGAGGCATCAAGCAAGGTGTTAGAAAGAATAGAAAGGTGGGGAAAGATGGAAAGTAATATAATTGTGGACTCAGTATTATGGGGGTATAATATTATTGAATTAGCTTGCCTGGATGTGATGATGGACTGAGAGGTAACAGTCAAATATACTACTGTAAGGGTTTTTTATTTTTTATTTTTTTTTCTGGCTAGGCAATGGGGTTAAGTGACTTGCCCAAAGCTACATAGCTAGTAAGTGTCAGGCCGCATTTGAACTCGGATCCTCCTGGCTCCAGGGCCAGTGCTCTATCCACTGCACCACCCAGCTGCCCCCTATTATGAAGTTTTGAGCCTAGATTACTGGAAAAATGATGATTAAATTATCAAGAGAGACAACTGAGAAGAAAAACAGGTTTTAGGGGGAAAATGTTGAATTTAGTTTTAGACATGTCTAGTTTAAAGCCAGATATCCAAATGGAGGTATTCATCAGGCACTTGGAAATGTGAGACTGGAGCTCACACATAGATATTGGGGTCATCCTTATAGAGGTCAAAATTGAATCCATGTGAATGGATTAGATTGCCAAGGCTTAGAAATGTGGAAAGAAATGAGAAGAACTTAGGCCAGAGGATTGGAGGATACTCTCATTTAGAGGGGAAGAAGAAGAGGAAGTGAAAAATGAAATAGTAATGGAGAGTAAAGAATGATCAGACAAGTAGAAGGAGAAACAGGAAAGATCAAACGAGGGAAAAGGATCAAAAACGAAGAGTCGGTCAACAGAGTAAAACGTTGCAGAAAAGTCGAAGAAGTCTTGGAAAGGACTATTGGATCTTGTAATTAAGTGGTCAGCGGTCTTGAGAGAACAGTTTCAATACAGTGGTGGGGTCAGAAGCCAAGAAGCAGGGAGCTAAGAAATGAGTAGGTGGTATGCTAATGGAGATAAACATAGACTACTCTTAAGTTTAGGAGTGAAGGGAAGGAGGAAAAATAAGGAGGCTGAATTAGATGATCTGTGAGGTACCTTCCAGTCTCGTGGACGTGTTACATGTTGGCTTGAGAGTAGCACGAGGATATGGGCTACCTAAGCATGCATTTAAACAGAAGGAAAATGGTGAAAGACTAAAGATGAGAGAGAGAATGGGGAAACAGCCACTTTATCCTCCAAAACCCAAGAGAAGGAGAAAAGGACAAAGATAAGGAGTTTTGAGTTAGAGAATAGGGGTGGGAGGTAAAAGACTTAAGAAATGAATTTAAGTTTCTACATGGATCATCTGAATTTTTCTTTTTGAGAGTCATGGAGGGTGCAATGTAATCACCAAATTAAAAAGAAAACAACTCCTGTTGAACCAGAGACCAAGTAAATACTTTCAGTTAACCAATAATAATTTTTATTTGAACAAATGAACTATTCAAGTCTATAAAACATATGCATCACCTATGACTTCCAAAAGTATGAAATGTTTTCTTTTTTATGAAAAATAAATCTATTTTAGGGCTCAGAAGAAGTAACATAGAGAGTTTAGGTGCTATTTTACTACAGAGTATGCAAATTCCTTCTTATACATCCCCCATGGTCTTTATAAAGACAATGATACCATCATAGGCTCATAAATTTAGAGCTGGACAGGAACTTTGAGACAATCTAAGAGATCAAGTGACTTGTCCAAGGTGGAGATGTGGTAAGCAGCAGCTTTGAACTACTTCCCTCTTTCCACCAAACCTTACCATCTTTATGAACAAAGGGCCACAAGTAACAAGTATCCAGCGAGAAAGCTGTGCTTTATGCGACTTTCTGCCAGTATCACAGCATTTCCTCCCTTTCCTTCTACCTAAACTTCCGTACCCTTGCCATTGACCCACAATAACAAGAGCACTGGCTCCAAATTCTTAGGCTGTTTTGTGACCTTTCACAAGTTACTTGGCTTCCCCAGGCCTCCGTTTCCTCAAAATAAAGGAGTTATACTTAGATAACCTCTGAAACCCCTTCTAGCTATGGAGTTATGATCCTATGAAATTGGCAGTGTCCTAATAAACTAACTGTTTCAGTATCTCTCGTTGAAAGTAAAAGCAAGAATGAGTTATAGAAGTGGGATGATGAGGTCAAAAAGATGTCAAAAGCACATTTTAAAATATAAAAAGATATTGTTATTAATATTTTTTCTACTTACTCTACATTCTTTGTCCAGTCTGGAGGGTTACTCATAGTCATAAACACACAATTGGTCAGAATAGTGCACATAATGAGCATGCTGAATAAAGTAGGGTACAGTCAAGGAACACAGTGTACAACAGAAAAGCTTATTATCATGTACTACCATGCTAATAACACTTATTGCCAATTCAAAGATAAGAAACTACTAATAATCACTGTAACATTTTTGCATTTTCCTTATTTCTCTATGGCTGAGTCAATATTCACAAGGGCTATTTTTAAATGTCACCATAGCAACCACTTTGGATCCAGTTTAGTTATTTTGACTATTTTGATAACCAATTGCCAAGCAATCAATTAATCAGTGAATGTCTCACAAATTTCAGTTATTTTAAAGACAGGATCAGGTCAGCAAGTTTCCCTTGAGGCCCCCAGTGAAGGGATAATGTTTTCATATTGTGAGGTCTTTGAGGACTTTTGAAATGAGACCATATTGGATAGGGTTCAAGGTAGATCTACAAAATACTGAGTTCTGTATCATAAGAAATATTTTAAAAAGAGAATTCTATTCTAGTTCATTTTCCATTTCACATGTATAAAAACAGGGTTTAATATTGATTTATGTGTAAAGATAAAGGAGTCATGACTCAAAATTCAGTAATAAGATGACAAATCAATTGTCTTCTATGTTAAAAAGAGTAGGAAGAAATTCACTGTCACGGTAAAAAAAAACAGTCATTTGCCAATGAAAATCTAGACATAATCATAAAAGGATTCAAGATAGAAGTAAATGAAATTGTTTTGTAAAATAATTTATAAAATGAATGAAAATTCTTTTTATTTCTTTTCTCATAAAATATTACAATATTCAGTCATACTACACAAAATCAACCAGATCTTGAGATCATAGGGCTAAAAGAGAAAAGGTCAAGTAGCAGAGGTAGGATTTGAACCTAGGTCTTCTGACTTCAAATGGTTAAATTAGATCAGGATGAAAAAGGTTAAGTGAGTCTAGTAAGGAAATTACCTTATATAATGAGACTTTGCATTGAAGGGCTAACTTCAATCAATGCTATAATTAGTGTTTCATTTTTAATGGCACTCAAATTCATGAACTTCATTCAAATAGAGAATTCAAATACATTCAAATAAAAAAAATAAAGACATAAATGACTGACATGAAACAACCACATGATGGCACTACAACCTAAAATAACATGGAGCACCATTTTGGTTTAACATTAAAAGCACAGTAAAAAAATCAGGTAAAAAAGTAACTAAAGTTTATAAGTGATAATTGTTATGAAATATTTGGATATTGGAAGATAAAATTATTAAAACTTTCTAAAAATTACAATGCAATATATAATTTCCTTTTATTTTAGTTTATCATTCTCATTTTGTATATACTGACTCTGCGTATAAGATATGGCATAACAATCTTCCTCATCTATACTGAGCAATAAATTCTTAGAGGTCCTTTTTGGAGGGGAAAAGGGATATTAGAAAAAGAAAGAAACTAAGATAGTCTTATAATATTTATATCATGTGGAATATTACATAGTTTTATGAAGTTTTATTTCTCTACTCCCCAGAAATCTATTTTTTTCAGCCTTACAAAATAGTAGAGACTCTTATCACAGACATATACTGTTCAACTCACTTCAAACCTGAATGCTTTATTGGTGTGGGTATTTCCTTCACAGATGCAGACTGCAACTTATTTATAATTTGGTAGATAAGACCTGCTTTGATTAAAGAATTCCTCAACTTGAAGAAAAACTGGTGATGAACCTCTCTGTAGTTGGCAGAGAGCCTAGATAATAGATGTACTGTCTATCATTGGACTCATACTCTAAAACTTTCCAGCCAGTACTAAAATTCTATGATTTTTAAAGCACTGACTAAGCACATGGAGCAAATTTCATGTCAAAGCTAAAGATGAATTTTAGATACAATCCCACAATCTTTAATAGAAAACACTAATATTTGCTGGCATTCCTTTAAAAAAATTTTTACAGATGGTCAATAAACACAACAAAGGAAATGATGTTGTTGCATTACTAATATAACAAAAGAAATTACTTTTTTAAAAATGGGCCCTATCTCTGAGGCACCACCTCACACCTATCAGATTGACTAACAAGACAAAAAAGGAAAATGACAAATGCTGGAAGGCATGTGGAAAAATTGGGACATTAATACACTGTTGGTGGAATTATGAACTGGTGCAACCATTTTGGAGAGGCATTTGAAACTATGCCCAAAGGGATATAAAACTGTGCTTCAACCTAGCAATACCACTACTAGGTCTGTATCCCAAAGAGATTAAAAAGAAAAAGAAAAAAAAAGACCTATATGTACAAAAATATTTATAGCAGCCCTTTTTGTGGTGGCAAAGAATTAGAAAGTGAGAGGATGCCCATCAATTAGGGAATGGCTGAACAAGCTGTGGTATATAATTATGATGGAATACTATTGTGCTATAAGAAATGAGCAGGATGGCTTGATAAAAACCAGGGAAGGCTTATATGAATTGATGCAAAGTGAAGTGAGCAGAACTAGGGGAACATTGTGCACAGTAACAGCAATGTTGTATGATGATCAACTATGAATGACTTGGCTATACTTGGCAATAAAATAATCCAAGACAATTCTGAAGGACACATGATGAAAAATGAAAGAATTCATGGAGTCTGAGTGCAGACTGAAGCATACTTTTTCACTTTATTTTCCTTTTTTTTTTTGCAACATGGCTAATATGGAAATATGTTTTTCATGATTTCACACGTATAACTGATATCACATTTCTTGTCTTCTCAATGAGCAAAGGAGAGAATTCAGAACTCAAAATTCAGATTTTAAAAAAAAGAAAGTTAAAAATAAATAATACATTTAATTTAAAAATAAAATATAGACATTAGAAAAATAAAAAATCAAGCAGAAACTACATGTTACAAGGCCCCATTAAAATAATATGATTCAATTGAGTTTCCAAATTCAGTACACTGTTACATTCATTGATTTTTTTTTTTTTGGTAAGGCAATTGGAGTTAAGTGACTTGCCCAAGGTCACACAGCTAGTACGTGTCAAGTGTTTGGTCTGAGGCCGGATTTGAACTCAGGTCCTCCTGACTTCAGGGCCGGTGCTCTATCCACTGCGCCACCTAGCTGCCCCTCTCATTCATTGATTTTTAACAAAAGGCAGTTTTCTTGGAATTACTATATTTGATAAGAGATACAAATAGTAGGAATTCTAAATGAAGGCAGCTCTATCTATAGGAGTACTGAGATATTTGCCTTCATTCAGTATATATATATATATATATATATATATGTATGTATGTATGTATGTATGTATACACAAATACACTGTTCACACCTGAAATTGATGAGTTCCTTGAAAAATAGGGGAAAAATACAGTATATACCAATTTTTTATCTGAAAACATAAATAACTATCATGACAATTGAATGTAGCAAAAGTTTAGAACTTTTACATTTATCACAGTATTATATCCTACACAAAATTCATAAATCTTTCACTGTTTTCTAAATACACATGCCAGTGACTAAGAAAACATAAACAACTCAGCTGTCAAATGCTCGGGATAATTCCCCTTTGAATCTATGGTTGCCTCTTTTCTTCTGAAAGGTATAAACGGATAATGTATAAAGGTATAATGGATAAAGAACTGGCCTCACATAATGGCAAGTTATTTAACCTGTTGGTGTTCTAGGCAACTCTCTATGACTGTACATTGCAGTGGAGGTCATTTTTGTACTCACTTTGTACTGAGAAGTTCTCTTTACCAATTGTCTAGCCTCTATCCCTTAAGCACATAGGGATATAAAATTAAACATGTGGAGAACAAATACTCTGGGAAAAAATACTTAGGATCCTCTTTACTAATATTTATCCACTGGCCAATAGTTGAGTTCAGAGCTATGCCTGTATTTGTGTGACACAGTATACATAAGATGCTAAAGCAAAGGTCTCCTGCTCAAACTCCATTGTCTCCCTCTTACCTCTTGAATCAAATACTTGTTGTTTAGTCGTTTCTGATTATTTATGACCCCATTCAGGGTTTTCTTGGCAAGGATACAGGAGTGGTTTCCCATTTTCTTCTCCAGCTCATTTTATAAATGAGGAAACTGAGGCAAACAGGGTTACGTGACTTGCCCAGGGTCACACAGCTAGTATCTGAGGCCAGATTTGAACTCAGGTCTTCCTGACTATAGGCCCAGTGCTCTATCTACTCTGTTTTCTATTTAAAACCTTTCAAACTTACCATTCCAGGGAATGATATAGGCCTTTCATAGTCAAACTGTTATTCTCACTATTCCTCACCCACAAAATCTGACCTCCCACCACTATACCTTTGTATAGGGTGATCCCTATACCTGTCCTGACTCTCCTCACATTTACCTCTTCAAATTTCTAGGTTCCCTCAAAGTTTTATTCAAATGTCACCTCCTACATGAGGCTTTTTTTTATTCTCTCTAGTGTCCTCCCTTCTCATCTCAATTATTTTGAATTCATTTTATACAAATTATATATATACACATATATATATTATACACACACAGACATACACACACGCGCACACACACACACACACACACACACACACACACACTCTCACAGAGTTAACCCTGATGAAATGCTCTTTAAAGGCAGGCACTGTTTTATATTTGCATCTGTGTTTCTAGCACCTAACAGAGTACGTAGTACATAGCACGTATTTAATAAACACCTGTTTTTTTATTGAACCCAAAGACCTTGTGCACTTATGCTAAAAATGGTTTAGATAAACCTTGATCTGCATAGTAACCTAGATAATGCAGTTTCTAGCATGTTTAAAAACATGTGGGAACAATTGTGGGGGAGAAGAGTTTTGTGTTTTTGTTTGCCTGGATTTCTGATTTTATTGATGAAGTAAATTCTGGTAAAGAAATTTCTTCTATAAAAGCATAGCTGGAGTTCTTCTGCAAGTTATGGTCTAAAAAAGTTCTCTATGTCACCGAGACACATTTGCCTTGTGTTATACAGCAGAATGTGCCAAAGGAAAGACTCAAAGGTATTCCTGACTCTGAGGCCAGCTC